ACGTCTAGGGTTGGTGTTTGGGTAAGAGTCGTGGAATGTGTTCGGGTCGCCTCGAGCTCAGAGTACAAAAGGTTCAGGATCTTAAATATGTCATTCATATAGTATAAATAGTGGATCCGTGTGTGTAATCCGAGACTGTCATCTCCAATTCTGCTTCTGAGGAGTTTATGAGGAGTCTTTACACACTTCAATAACAACAGCCTGGAGCTTCAGCGCTGACCACTGACCGCCACTAGAGGGCACAGTTCATCAGTGATCAAATGTGATAAATGAATTATGTTTAGTCATTTTAGTTTGATTGACCTGCTTTTTATTAATACTAAACGTCTCCCTGATTATGTATGTGGTGTTTTGTATTTCCTCCTTAAAACTGCAGTGAACCAAAGACAGTCTCAAAAACACGTTTGAAATCGCTGGTGCTTGACGTCACAAACCACCTTGTAACCAATCAGATCAACGTGTGATCGACAACCAGTGGATCTCTGAGTGAGTGTTGTGTGTATTTTATCAGACAGGTGAGCAAATGTACATAAAACTAATCAATGTTATAGCCTACAGTTCAACATGATGAAATGTTAGAATATGATCTTTATGTTATGATCAAACGCATTGCTAGTCTCATACTACAAACTAACACATTGAATAACATTAAACACACTCAAATGCAGTTTAGTGTGATATTGTTACTGTCCTCACAACACAAGCTTCACTCGTCTAATAATCTGACCTGTGTGAGTAATCGGTAGAATATCCGCGGGATTCGTGCGTGGCGCTGAGATCTGTCTCTCATTAGCAGTCGAGCCCTGCTTCACACCACAGTCATGTTAACAATGTATTCACTCATCCTTATGAGTCAATTCACTCATCCATACACATTATTAGACCCATCAGCTTGACGACCAGACCCATAATTCCGCTTAAAGGGTTAGTTCACAACAAAACCGGAAGACAATACAATGCTGAATAAAGTCAGAGTTTTTGTTATTATTTAAGGTCCCGTATTATGCCCCTTTTCACAAGATACAATAAGTATCTGATGTCCCCAGAATGTGTATGCGAAGTTTCAGCTCAAAATACCCAACAGATCTTTTTTTTTTACAGCATGTTTACACTATAAATCGTCATTTTTTTGGGGCTCGGAAAAACGCGTGCCCTTTAAATGCAAATAAGCTGCTGCTGCCGGCACAGGGGGCGGAGCTTTATGAACTCGTGACGTGCTCAGTCTCTCAGAACAATTTCACCTCACGGAATGAGTATGACGATAATAACAGAAATTCTCAGTAACGGTGTTCATTTCGAGTCGGACAATAATGCCTACAGAGTCAGAGTGCTGTATAGAGATGGAACAGGTATAGTTTAGTAGTTTAATTACAGTTATTATAACGTGTTTGTCATCTGCTTGTAGACTATGTATCCATTATTTATTAGCCTACAAGTCTGCTGTTTCGGACCAGGTCCGAATGATGATCAAACATATACTGATGAGTTTGATAAAGTTTGTTGTACATCACACAAAAGATGAAGCGTCAGTTTTACTTCAGAAAAGTAAACACAGTAAGTTATGTTGATATGAGGGAGCATTCCTGTGGGCGGACGTTAGTCAAAAACTGTTCTACTGACGTCATTAAAGAAGGAAGTAGAGGGATGTAGTCCAAACGGGCCGTTCGATGTAGGCTACTTCTGTTAAATAAAATATCTCGCTTGGCATAGAACTTTGAGGTTTATAATTTTGCAGATATTATTTATATTACTCTAACAACAACATTACACACTAACTATAGTTTGAAACATGGGATCACGAAGAACGGGACCTTTAATGCTTTGCGTTATCAACCTACACCTTTGTTATTGTAAGAGTTTAGCGACCCTTAGCGGCGAAAAAATACATATTGTAGCTGCATGAAGAATATTTGTAAAGGAAAACGCGTTTAAATATGTAAGTTTGATGATCAAAGGATATTGAATTGAATACAGTATTTTTCACAGCTTGTCACAATGCATTTTGGGATTATCATGAGGCCATAAAGTGCTGCCTATGTAGGGAGATCACTCGGTTTTAGTGCACAGCCATTCAAAATAGAGTAAAATTGAGTTCATTACAACTAAAATGTCACTACAAACCAACAAATCAATGCATGTCCACATCTAATTGCACTTTCTAATTATAATTGTAAAGAGTTCTGAATATAAGTTATCTGGGTCTTTTAAAATGCTAATAAGTTAATAATATTGGCATGTTCTTTTTACACATGGAAACATGATTGTGAGTCTTGCATGTGTTTTTATGACATCTGCGTTTATTTTGTTGTTTATTTAATTCCTAAAATAGGTTTCTATTTGGCTTCAATATCAGGTTTGTCTCCAGCAGCGTTTGTTCTGTTCTTTTCATTTTCCTGAAACATATTTGGAGTAACTGTAGGCTTGTTCTGTTCTGCTTCAAGTACTTTACAGTAATTAGTTCAGGATAAATAGGTATTTGGACTGTATTTCTAATGAGGCTTTGGGTAAAACGAGCTCAGCTTTAGCAAAGATAAACACAGATGGTTAGTCTGTAGTGCGGCGCGTTTAAGTGTTTTCAACTGCAGTTCACAATAGAAAGACTCAACACTGACCCATATATAGTCAAACCAAAAATTGTTTGTATATTGTATTTTGGTATTTTTAGCATTGCAGTGCTTTGCTTGTATTCTGAATATTTTAGCAAATTATACATTGTGATAAGTAAACAATAATAAACATACATATGAAGTTATTAAACTATTTATAATGTAATAATACTGTAAGTAGCATGATGGTATTGGGTTTTTAATTTAATTGAGTTTATTTCTGTGAATCCACAGGACTCATACGCTAGTTTCCACAGTTCCAGAGTCTGTCAGTCAATGTGCAGGTATGATTGACATGTGGCCGTGACCCCGGGGTCAAGCTAATGTAGGTGAGTCATGTGCGTGCTGTGACCTCTGACCTCTTACTTCTGACCCCTGCAGGCTCAATGACTCAGGTTACGGTGATTCAGAGGAATAAAGTAGCGTAGTAGTATTTTAGTTCATTGATTCAATTATTTTGCAAACATTACCATCTAGTGGCTGTGACTGGTATTGCAAATTCTTTTGCACTTGGTAAATATAGAAAATCATAAATGTGTCCTCATATTAGAACGATTTCTGAAGGATCATGTGACACTGAATACTGGAGTAATGATGCTTAAAATTTAGGAATAAATTACACTTTACTGTATATTCACATAGAAAACTGCGGTTTAACATTATAAGAATATCTCACTATTTTTATTGTATTTTTTAAGAAATAAATGTGAACCTAGTGAGTGTAAAAGTATATATGTTAAAAAAATTAAAATTTAAAATGCACATACCATCTAACATAGCATCTCTGTTTTAATATTAATTTTGATGTATTGACTTTGATTTGCTGGTTTAGTGTCATTTTGCCCTAATTAAATTGAGAAATGTGTTCATTTAGAGGAATATTAGATCCCTGCATATGCAGGACTTGTATATTTTTTCACACATTATGTAAGTGTTTTCTGACACATGTTCATGTTGTGTGGCGTCTCGGGGTGATAGAGAGATGCTTGTCACATTCGTCTCCAGCCCGAAGCAAAACCTGCCAGAGGCCGTCGATCAGGCCTGTGAAAACACACACTTTCGTTGACACACACACACACACACACTCACTCACTGACAGCCCTTCTGAACCATTCGGTACATTAAGAAGTGTGTGTGATTGTTAGTGTAGATGTGAACGATGACTGACCCGCTGGAAACATTAAAGGAGTAGTTCACTTTTAAAAAATCTTTTGCTGATAATTTACTCGCCCCCATGTCATCCAAGTTGTCCATGTCTTTCTTTCTTCAGTCGAAAAGAAATGAAGGTTTTTGATGAAAACACTCCAGGATTTTCTCCATATAATGGACTTCAATGGGAACCAAACGGTTAAAGGTCCAAAAGACAGTTTCAGTGCAAACTGTTCAAAGGGCTTTACGATTCCAGACGATGAATAAGGGTCTTATCAAGCGAAACGATCGCTCATTAAATACATAAATAACAAAGTTTAAGTTTTATAAGCTCAAATGCTCGCCTTGCTCTGTTCTGTGATGAGTGTTCGTGACTCTCCTGTTCGAACTCGTTCATCAAAATGAACAAATCTTTTTCCGAGTCATGACTCGAAGGGTCCTTGAAAAGACCCTTATTCATCGTCTGGAATCGTAAAGCCCTTTGAACAGTTTGCACTGAAACTGTCTTTTGGACCTTGAACCGTTTGGTTCCCATTGAAGTCCATTATATGGAGAAAATCCTGGAGTGTTTTCATCAAAAACCTTCATTTCTTTTCGACTGAAGAAAGAAAGACATGGACATCTTGGATGACATTTGGGTGAGTAAATTATCAGCAAAAGTTTTTTAAAAGTGAACTACCCCTTTAACATGTCAACTGTCTGTGGCGTTTTTTTTCCCTGTCACATATTTTAGTAATCAATTAATCAGTTAATCACTCAAAATTCATCTTCTAAAAGCCATTTTGAAGTTACAGTACTTTAAAGTCAGGAAGTTGCGCTCATATTTTCTTCCAGAGTGAAACTGCTTCTCAAAGCAAGAACAAATGTGGGCGGGGCTTGATTTTGTCTGTGATGATTGTGGTTTGCTATTGGTGGATCTCATGTGAGTGACAGGTGGTCCCGCCCACATCATCAGAGAAGAGATAAGATGCCGCTGCTTGATTAAAGATTATGAGACAGATGATTTTAAAGTCCCTCTGTGGTGAAAATCCAGCGTTTAATGTTGTTCGTGTGTGTGTGTGGTGTTTTTAATCTGCTTTAACACACACCGTGTGTAAGTTGATAAGTGGACAGCATTGCTGAGTATTTCCTCCTCAAAGACAGTCTCAAACACACGCTTTGAAATCGCTGGTGTTTCTGACGTCACAAACCACCTTGTAACCAATCAGATCAACGTGTGATCGACAACCAGAGTGAGTGAGTGGAGGCGGGGCTCATTTGCATATTCATATAACCGCGCATACTAAATGAGGCGAGGGTGTCGAGTTACATTCAAGATGTTTTAAGGCATGGAGAAATTTTTCCAGCCCAGATTTATTGTGTATTGTTCAGTAATAGCATCCGAACGTCTGTCCAGTGTTGAGTGTGTGATGTTGAACGTGTGTGTGAGGCTGTGGGGTGTTTGGGATCCTGAAGGCCTTTTGCTACAGCTGTCAATGACAGATTTGTCAAGTTAATTAAAGCCATGCTGCTCATTACTGACTCGATCGATCTCCTGTGTTCACTTTCTCTGTGCTCTCACGGCAGCTGCATCTCTCTGGTTATCTGAATGGAAATTTCTGCATTCAAACAAACAATTGAAGAGCAAGATGGCAGCGGTGAAGCCTGTATTTATTTTACACAAGTCTACCGTGTTTTCTGGCACTAGAGACTTGTTTTGCCGTGATTCGCCCTCAGGGAAGGACAAGTGTTACAATCGTACAATCAATGTGTGTTCAACTTAGTGCATCCTTGCTGTGTTTATTTCATTAAAACACAACTACACCCATTGAAGAGCGGCTATAATCCGTCGTCCATGACTCTACAGGTACTCGTGAGCGATCATTAATCAATGCAATCACACAACACGTTAGGTCAGATGCAGCATTCATCACGCGTGATCATCCTCCATTCACTTACAGATTAATGCACTACAGCAACACACTGTTTCTCTTAACAACTCAGCGCTTTTCTATTGAATGCTCAGATGAAATTACATTGAAATTGCATGCATGAGTGAACGTCAAATGACCATCTCTAGTGATTAGGTGCCATATCAACATTTATGACTGAACATAACTTCTGATCAACCTCAGTTCATGCAAACTATACACTCTTAGAAGAAAAGGTTCTACATGGAAGCTTTAAACGTTCCGTCAGGTGCTTTTAGAACCTTTCCCATCATGGGAAAATCACTTCATGGACGTTTTTTTCAAAATTTAAGTAACCTGTGTTAAACTTGAAAGCATTATGCTATGATTTAAGACATTTCTGTGGAAGCTTTTTTCCGTTATAAATATAAAAATAAAATAAAATAAAAATAATGAATAAAATGAATAAAAATAAAAACGTAATTGTGATTTTTCATCTCACAATTCTGACTTTATCTCGCAATTCTGACTTTATCTCACAATTCTGACTTTATATTTTACAATTCTGACTTTATATTTTACAATTCTGACTTTTCATTTTACAATTCTGACTTTATATTTTACAATTATGACTTTTTATTTTACAATTCTGACTTTTCATTTTACAATTCTGACTTATATTTTACAATTCTGACTTTTTATTTTACAATTCTGACTTTATATTTTACAATTCTGACTTATATTTTACAATTCTGACTTCAATTTTTTACAATTCTGACTTTTTATTTTACAATTCTGACTTTTTATTTTACAATTTTGACTTTTCATTTTACAATTCTGACTTTATATCTCACTATTCTGACTTTATTTTACAATTCTGACTTTTAATTTTTTTTACAATTCTGACCTTTTATTTTACAATTCTGACTTTTTATTTTACAATTCTGACTTTATATCTCACTATTCTGATTTTATTTTACAATTCTGACTTTTAATTTTACAATTCTGACTTCATTTTACAATTCTGACTTTTTATTTTACAATTCTGACTTTTTATTTTACAATTCTGACTTTATTTTACAATTCTGACTTCATTTTACAATTCTGACTTTATACTTTACAATTATGACTTTATATCTCACTATTCTGACTTTTTATTTTACAAGTCTGACTTTTCATTTTACATTTCTGACTTTTCATTTTACAATTATGACTTTATATCTCACTATTCTGACTTTTTATTTTACAATTCTGACTTTATATTTTACAATTCTGACTTTTTATCTCACAATTCTGACTTTATATCACAATTCTGACTTTATATCTCATAATTCTGACTGTCTTACAATTGCGAGTTTAAATGTTCAGAATTGCGTGATATAAAGTCGCAATTGCCTGTTATTTAAATCAGAATTGTGAGATATAAACTAAGAAATAAATTGCAAATGCGATTTTACATCACGCAAAAACAAAAGTCGCAATGATATTTTAAAATGTTTTATGCTGTGGCGGAAACAGTCCTCCACACATTTCCCCTTATAGAACCTTTTTTGCATTAATATGTTTTTAAAATTGAGTCAAGAACAGTCTTATATAAAACTATACATTTTTTTCTGTGAGTGAACATGTGAGTTTGTTTGTGTAAAACCTCTAGTGTTTGCTGTGCATGTGTGTGGGAAAAGAGCTTGTCTCTCCTCAATAAGACATTTGAGCAATAGTAAAGTGATTGTTCCCTTTGCAGTTTTTGTCGTCAGAGCGAGTCAGATGGAAAGGACCAGTGTGTCACTCTCCTCTGATGTCTGAGCATCTCTGGATGTATGAGGGGATTCGAAACGACCACATCTTATTACTGAGAGGTTAGTTTGCATGTAGCACTTATTATTTTACTGTAATAAGTTTGATATATCACTGTTCTGTTGCTCGGATAATGCGATTGTTTGGATCAATATGTTGATAGACTCTTAAAAATAAAGCTCCAAAAGTGATGTGAGCAATCATGAACAGGTCTTTTTTTTTTTTTTTTAATGTGAAGAACATTTTAATATTTTACCTTTTGTGGAATGAAAATATTCCTGGGATGTTAACTCTTTCCCTCTCTGTGTTTTAAAAAAAAAAAAAAATGTCGTCAGTCAGTGGCAGCATTTTTTTACCATTTTTCGCGAACATGTTATCTTGAATGTGGGTGAGTTTCATAAAAAAGCAACATTTTGAACAAAAAGCAGAGAAAATCACGTTTTGTCGAAGACTGCGACTGGATCAGATCCAGAGTGATGATCAAAACACAGATGGAGTCGATCGAGTCCATCAACACCTCAAAGCTTCAGAGTCGTTCCCTCTTCACGATTCAACGTTTCATTTAGTAATATTAGGCAGTTTTGATTTATATGCTGTTTAATGTTTGATGATCGAGATAGCAATGCTTCTATAGCTCGTTTGTGCTGCTTCTTCGCCTGTGTTTTGATCAGGAGATGTAGTACTGCATAGCGCCCCCTACCGTACAACACGGAAAACATGGAAAGCCGGAAGACTCAATGGCAGGGAAAGAGTTAAAGGTCCTTCATGGAATCATCGATCCCAATAAAACATTTTTTAAGAGTGTATGTTAATTGGATTGGATGTTTTCAGGTTACTCAAAACTAATGATAGTGTCTTAATATTAGAAGTTTACAATCATAATTTTCCTATTTATATGAAATTTGGATTTATTTCAACAAGATAAAATGCATTGAGTTTTTGAAAAAAAAATGTTCATTATTTGGCCCAGAATATGATGTGTTCGTACAACATCCACACAGAAAGCAAAAAGATTAAAGCCAAAAGTATCAAAATACGCCACAGATCTTTTAATATAGCATATTCAAATTGTCACTTTTTGAGGGTGAGCAAAAACACACCGTTTTGTGTCTGTCCCTTTAAATGCAAATGAGCTGCTGCTCTCGGCACAGGGGGCGGAGCTTCAAGAGCTTGCGTGTGTATGTGTTGAGTCACTGAAAATTGCACTTGTAGCCTTTTATGTTCAAACCGAAGTCAGACTCAAGAAGAAGTGGCAAAATGTAAAAGCAACATGACATTTCTGAAAGGTTAGTTGATGAATTTATATTGTTGATGTGGAGTTATGTTTTAGTCATTGATTAGCATATTCTGCCATGATCATTCCTGGAGGCGGGGTTTATAGAAATGTTAGGGTTGGCGATGTCACTTACCCGTGAAGAAGCTTGTGTAGTTCTACCAGCCGTTTGTTGTAGTCCTTAAAAACAATTTCTTTAAAAAAGCAAATCTCTCCCTTTGTTTTGAACTTTGAGCATTGTAACTTTGCAGATGTTCTTTATGCTCATATAACAACATTACACACTAACTACAGTTAGAAAGTGAAATCATAATCAACCACCCCTTTAATATTTAAATGTTTAAATGTCAAGTTTTGTTTTTTAAGTGAGCAATACAGCTAAATTAAGACACAATTATGTATTTTTTTAACTTTAGCAGTCACTCCTCTCCCGTGTTCAATGTCAATCCGAGTTAAAGTGTAATCTCGCAGATTTTCAACCCGCTTTGTTTTATTACAATGTTGGTACTAGTATGTGTAAATTAACCATGTTAGCCAGGTTTACTTAGAAGTATTTCCTACCTGAGCTACTGGGTATTTGACCAGCTGAGCGTATCTATAGCAGACTGGTGGGAGTGGCCCTGGACGGCAACATTCCTAGTGCATTATGGGAGTTGAAGTTTTCCTACCTATTTGTCAAAAGGGCCTTTTTTTTTCTCCGCTTTCTCTACAGATTTCAAAAAAAGTTTTACCTTTCTACTGTATAGGCAACCAAGTTTTATTGAAAGTCGATTTTGCGTTGAAGAAACCAATTGATTTTTTAATTTTTTTTTTCTGTTGCATAATAGAGCTGCCCATTGAGAGTGCTTAGAAGTTGATTGGGATGAAATGTAGATTTAATTACATGATCAAATCCCAAACTGGCATAATTTAGTGGAGACACTAGATATCATATCAACTGATATTGTCTACATGTTGAACACACAGTGGTGTGGTTTAGTTGTTTGGTGCTGTTATTCTTTAGAGATTTATTCAAATGGTTTGATTAATTCAAGGTCAAGAGCCTGTGATGTTTTAACATTTCCTCATGCTCTCGGGCACACATCGCTTTGCTACTGCTACTATTTGGTTAAAATGAAGCCGTAGGAAGGGTGAAAGTGCACCAGGTGTTCGACTCTGAAGCGTGGTCCGATTGGTGTCGGTAAGCTTTTATCTGTGCAGGCGTTTGTCCCTAAGGAGTCTCTTCACACATGGATGCCTATTTTAAAAGCTTGAAGCTCCCAACATCGCTGTCCTGTTTTGTCCTGGCCCGGCGAGAGTTTACTGATGGGACTCCTTCATGACCCTTATATGTGCTAAAAGACTTTGAGCTCTACTCAGATTTTCTAGGAATTTTAGTTGTACACTAAAGTTCTTCCACAAAAAAAATTGTTCAGTTTTTCTGGTAACACTTTAGGATATGGTCTCATTTGTTAACGTTAGTTAAAGAGTCTTGATGTTGTTTTCAGGCTCTCCTAGAACAGGTTTTCTTGAATGTTGATTATTCTCCTCATAATCTCCATTGTTGCGGCTCCTCTCTTCCCAGTCTGTCAGTAACGCTCTGTGTACTTCCTGTCTCTATGAAGCCCCTCCTTCTGAAAACCACACTGTGCTCTGATTGGTCAGCTGGAGCAGTGTGTTGTGATTGGTTGAGCGCTTTGAGTGTGTTTGGGAAATTAATTATTTGCATATTAATTAATTAATTAAATGAGGAATATTGTGATGTGTTCGTTCGTGGAAGAAACTCAAGACTACAATGGAGGCGTTTCAGGAGTTCAGAAACACTGACACTGATATAGATAGAGCTTTTTCAGCAACATTACACACTAAAGAGAGATGACTAACAATGAGCAATTTATCAATACAGCATATATATATATATATATATATATATATATATATAAATATTAACCTTTGTAAATGTTACATAATAAATTTATGCATGTTAATTCACAATGCAACTTTTAATATTAAATAAAAAAAACTTTAGTAAATGGTAAAATTAATGTGCCTCTGTTTTTTTCTCGAATTTTAACTTTCACGCAGCTGGTTGTGAATGTAAACGTTCTGCAAAGTTGTAAAGTCGAAAGTGCACGATAAATAAAGTTTTTGTCTCCCAAAAGAAATAATCGACTCTGAGCCAACTAAACTAGTAACTGCGTTACAGTTCTGCATCACTAGAAGATACATTTGCATATAAAGCCCATCTATGTTGTACGTTGTCTGTCAGCAAACTTGACCGGCACTTTAATGACGACTGCATCTCAAATCTCAGAGTTCGATTTGTGAGATTCGCTAAACTCTTGCTCTTGAAAGATGGGTCAGTACCTAGTTTATCTGGACTAGCTCCTCAGAATCACAACCTGTAAGTATGAATAATTACTGATGTATATATTTTCTACCGGCTGTTCAAAATATGTAGTTTTGTGTACGTTTCCGGCAAAGTCGTGTAATTACTGTCCTACTGATTGACCAATCACAACAGACTGGGTCATCTGACCAATCAGAGCAGAGTAAACCAGTCACAACAGACTGTGATTGCATGTAAACCTGAGACTCCAGAACTACATTAGGAGCCTTTAAAACAGCAGAATATGGACACTTTAACATTAACTAAGATTAATAAATTAAGAGTTCAGATGCAAAAGCCTCTAAATGCCATTTGAAATTTTCTTCTTTAATGATGATTTTTATCAAACTTGTATATTTAAGTTCAGTAATTTCACTTAAATAACAATTAATAGGTAATCTTCATTGCCATTTAAGTGAAATCACTGAACTTAAATATACAGGCTTGATAAAAATGATAATTCTAGAAGAAAATTTCAAATGGCACTTAGAGGCTTTTGCATCTGAACTCTTCAAATGCTGTATTGTTAATTGTTAAACCTTATTGAAAAGTGTGGCCGTGTTTCCATGCGATGTTGCTGTGTCTTCTGGATGTTTTAGTTTGAGCTCGAGAACTTTCTCTGTTTCTCTGTAACATCCCAGTGTGTGTCAGACCGTATCATTTCTTGCATAATACAGCGAGCTCTCATGAAGTGTTGTGCAGCTTTCCGAAATAAGAGGTTTATGGTGGGATTTGCATATGCGTTCTGTATATATATATACAGTATATAAAGTCAAACCAAAAAATATTCAGACACCAGATATCATTTGTGACATTTTTTTTTTTACTAGTGTGTGCAGGACACTATAGTTCAAGTAAACTGACATATTATAGCCAAATATTCTTCATACAGTGCAACAGTGATAATGTGGGACCAAATATGATTTGTGTGTTTTCTGTAACTGCTAATGCTCTTTTCACACACACTGAACAACATGAAGCATTGCTTGGTCACTGGTTGAGCTAAACTGGTATTATCTAATTGTGGAGTTCAATTGAACAGATATTCAACATAATTCATGTGTGAGAGTCCAACAGAACCAGTCGAATATCCACTGAGTTCTGCTCATGTTTATCACCATTATTTAAACTATAGCCAATAAACTGATAATGTGAGAAATGTTGAAGGCGTCTGAATAAGTTTTGGTTTGAGTGTGTATAATATATCCTTCACTGACATCTGCATTAAACATGCTCACAATGTCTTCTTATCAGTCTGGGTGAACAAACTGTGGGCAATTGAAAGTGACAGTAGTGTATAGAAAATCAATGTAGCGTATGCATCAGCCTGCAGTGGAGTCGATGTGTGTGTGTGTGTGTGTCTGACTCAGTGTGTTGAATGATGCTGACTGTAAGTGTACAGTAGTAACTGAAGCTCGTCA